AATTTGTTTCAAAGGTTACAAGCCATGATGGATTTTGTATCCAATATTTTTCAGGGTGCAAAACCCAAGCTTGATTGAGAGTGAAACACCCAGACTTTATATTTAGGGTGCAATACCCAAATTTATTTTCAGGGTGCAAACCCATATTTGCTTTCAGGGTGAAATACCCAAGCTTTGTTTTCGGGGTGCAAAACCCAATGCTTTGATTTCAAGGTTTAATACCCAATGATGGATTGAACATCTAAGAAATTTTGATTCAACGGATACCGCCCCAAAATTTGATTTGTGGGTTTTATTCCCAATCACGGGAGACTTCAAGAGAGTAGCCTTGTTGCAGATACAACATGTGTATCTGACTACTTCTGTCTTTGCAAGGAGTAGAGGTGTGTTAAGCCTCATTTTTTCATCTGCAGCCACACAATTGTCCTTCTCTACCTCTGTGGCTTTCCGGGTTTTTTCCTCCCTTTTTGTCAAAATTCTCCAGCAGCCTCCTTTTCTTGGCTTCAGAAAGAATTGATGAGAAAGATCAAACAACTCCCCCTTCCCCCTTTGCTTTTGACTTCATGGTGGGTTCTCCCTCACATCATGGGCTATTTTTCTTTTGCTGTTTGTTTGTGGCTTTGGATGCTCAAGGCATCTGTGAGAGAAACCTCACTGTCTTGTTGCCTTTAAAAACAATGAACAAAGAAATATGTTGCTCTTGGTAGAAATCTGTCGACCCTTTTTTTCTTCTGCAACCTCATGGCCCTCCTCTTTTCTTTTCTCTCCTATTTTTTATAGAGTCCTTGTGAGAGAGATTTGAGATGGAAGAATTCTCATTCAAATTGGATTCCTCCTCCCCTTTATCATATTATCATTTTCCCTTATTTATTGAATCATGATCCCTTCCTTTTCTCTAGGCATAAGATTAGGAATAATTTGACTTCCTGGGTGTTTCAAACTTGTTTTGAAAACAAGCATAGTGTGTGGACCAGACCCACCCTATGTTGTGGGGCTTATCCAAACCCATGTTTGAATTTTTTTTGTTCAACAGGCCTGATTATTGATCTAGAAGATAACCTATTTGTCCACATGGTGCCTTGCAATTGGAGCGCCAAGATATATGCTCCCACACTAGCTTTATCTACTTATTCTGGAAGGACCTTCAAGTATTGTACCTCTGTTGAGAATAGTAACCACTGTGATTAAAGAAAAAACCATAATAATACAAAAAAAAATTGATCTACTTAAGAATAAATATTCAGGGTAACATATTTTCTGATACAGATACAGTTAATTGCATGTCTTTATTTTTAAAGCCAATCTCGTTACATCACAGCCTAATTGCATAGGTCTGCTTGTACATCAAAGCCTCCTAATAAAGCAATTTTTTTTTAAAGAAAAAGAAAAAGAAAAGGAAATCAGAGCCTAAGACAACTAAAAAACTTAATATGAAGAATACTAAAATACTCAATCAAAACAATAGCATTATGTCGTGTAATGGATGGTTTATTTGCAATTTTACCATTAAATTTGACACGCCCTAAGAGAAATATATCACACAAAAACAATTACCAAATTAAATGGAAACTAAGAAATTGGGAAGCTAATTTACCAAATTTCATACAACAATCCTCCACTTTAACTGACTGTTTACAACAATTCTAGGAATATTTGGCTAAATCCATTCCACCAGTAGCCATATATTTAACTAAATAAGCTACGTCTAAAACCAAAAGATGCAAACCTTGTTTCTATTTCAAAAAATAAAAGAAGCGTAATTGGGATTTTTTATAAATTTGTATTTTTTATACAGTGGGAATGCCTCTGATCCAGCCTCCTCGTACAATACGTCCTTGTTCGGTACCGCCTTCAAAAAGAGTGAAACAAAATTAGGAGAAAAAAATAAAGCGAAAGAAATGAGAAAAAAGAGTGACGCTTTGGGGTCAAAGGTGAGACCTTTGGCAACAAATTGGCTTTCGCTAGGAGGATAGTTGAGGAGGTACCACTTTGCTATTTCTTTCTTCTACTACGTCGACCATTTCTCTCTTTCTCGGACAAGAAATTTCTAATGGAGCAACGTAAAGCAACTCATGTTTCATTGAGTCACGTTAATGGGGTGCGAAGAAAAGTGGGTGAAAACTGAAAGGAACTGCTTCTTTTACAAGATGAGGCCAAGTTTTTTAGGTTGCTTTTTTATTT